GTCATCAACATTACCACATCATCATGACACCAGATATCATTATTGTTACCAGACACTGTCATCACTACCAACAGACATTATCATCATCATTGCAAGGCACTGTCATCACCACCAGACAACATCATCATCATTACCATACATCAACGCCAGACTTTGATTTTAACTGTTTACACCTTACATCATCTGTAAATAAACACTTGGCGATCATTTGTTTTTTTCTCTTTTTATTTTTTTCCGAAACTGCTAGTGGCCCAACACAGACATTTGGCTTATTGGATCACGACCCATAGAATGGGACCCTTCGATTTAGTAATAATATTATAATGTAATAGTCATTATGCTCTTAATATTATTTTTTTCCCTTTTTTTAAATTATATTTTTAATGATAATAATAATAATAATTATTATTATTATTATTAATAGTTATTATTGTTATTATTATTATTATTATTATTATTATTATTAATAGTTATTATTATTGTTATTATTATTATTATTATTATTATTAATAGTTATTATTATTATTATTATTATTATTATTATTATTGTTATTTATTATTATTATTATTTTATTATTACTATTATCATATTTTACAGTTCCTGGGAATGTGTCAATGTTATCAGTGAATGCAGTCGAAGAAAATTCAACTCTGTTAAGTGTCAGCTGGTCAGCACCAGAACAAACCAATGGTGTCATTACTAAATATAAAATTTACTACCATCAATGTAAGTATATTAAATACAAACAAATACAAAAACACTATGTGAATAAAGGGCTATGCTTGATAAGATTATAACATCACGTTCCTATTTGAGCACTCTTATTATTTGTTTCTTTGTATTGTGTTTACGGTGCTATGCAGCAAACTTAATTTGAATGTTAAATTACACAGTGCTCAAACAGAAATATTCATGTGTAAATGAAATATTAAAAAATTAAATTTATTAATTGTAATTTAATGATATAATTTAATTTAATCATGCTGCCAGATATTAGCTCAGCAACCAAATTCTCTAAAGTCTGCCCTTATGAAGAGCAGAATAATGAAAGGATTGCAACCACATTTATATTTAAGTTAATTATCATAATATATAATATAAACTTTTATTTAAAATTCATAACAATACATAAAACATTTAAATATGAAATTAAAAACAAAGAGAGCTAATCTCCACTTAGATAGATATTTGACTTTTGTAAACAGTGGTTTACTTGTGCGTCATTTTGTATTCCCATTAGATCCAAATGGTTTCATTCATAATGAATTCTTGACTCCAGAACAAGAAATCCCTTACTTACTTGGAAGTCTTACACCACATGAGAAGTACGTTGTGTGGATGACTGCCAGCAACAAAGCTGGAGAGGGCGCTGTTAGCCAAAAGATTAACCAGACAACCAGTCAGGGAAGTAAGTAGCTGAGATATGTTAATGAATTCCAAAATTTACACTAAAAATGTCATTATTGTCAGTGATGGTTCTATGGATTTGAACACAGGGAGTCCAGCAAGTACAACAGGAGGTGCAAACCAAAAAACCTATGGGAGAATTTTACCCCTTAGGACATGTACTCTGCTGGCACCAACACTGATAAAAATTATATGTTCTTTCGCAATAATTTATATATTTTGTTTTTATGCAACAAAAAAATAATTGAAAAACAAATTAAATATACTTCATAATAAAGTTGGAAACCTTGGAAATACACATATCTAATTTGTTTTTACTTATACACTTTATATTTGATAAAATATTTTTTTAAATCTCTTATTGTTGCTTTTAATTGATACACTTACTGTCTTGTTGCCGATCTGATTAATGTGAATTTTAACTTGCGCCGTGTCATGTTTCATGCCAATTTGAATTCTATTACTGGTACTGGTACGAGCATTTATATTGTGCCTTTTCCTTTCGGTTATAAAGTGCACACCAAATCTCCTAGGTTAGGGAAAAACTCAAAGCAGAATGGAATACAGTCCCATTAAACAGAAAATTATTTTTAAAATTTTATGTGTTGCAATTTGATTGACTTTTATATGCTGTTGAATATTAGCTTCCAATGTTAACTTCTCTAAATTTTAACTACTCTTTTATATTGTAAATTTCTATTCTTGTCTATTTTATTGTAATGTGCATTTGAACATATGTTAACGGCTCTGGCAAAACTCGCCGTTTGTCGCAATTTATATTTTTCCACAAACGCCCAAAACGTTCAAGAAATCAGAATTTTGAAAATTTTTAGGTTCTTGCATTTTATAAAAGGAGATATAATTTAGAACATTTCTGCAAAATATCAATCACTAAATCTAACTCATAATTATGTTTAAATTATTTTTAAAATACAAACCTTAACAATTAAATATTGATTTTCGATTCTTTTAAAGCTGTTTTCTCAAACCCAACATGGTTGATATCCAATGAATTAAATATTCATAACTTATTAATACTCAACCAATTTCCATCAAATGAACACTGTTTTAAAGACGAATTCATGTAGAATATAACCACACTAAATACTAAATTTTTAATTTTTCCTACAAACAGCTGGTCTTGCGAGAGCCATGATCACATATTTGAATGGAATTTGTACAATAAAAATGAATAAGTTATTATTTTTATTATAAAATGAATAAATATTTATTTTAACTGTTATAATGTCAATTTTCTCATACAAACAGCTCCAACTGCTCCTCAGAATGTTACTGTTAGCAAAGTTACTAGCACCGGTTTCACAGTCCATTGGGATGCACCAGAGCAAACCAACGGAATTATCAAACATTACAGCGTCAAAGTGAATGACACAGATCATTCCGAGAGGTTCGTAAAGAGCACCGAAATTGAAATTGATAACCTGTTCGGGTATACACGGTATGTGGTTAGCGTTGCCGCATGTACTGAGGGACATGCTAATCATGCATGTGGCGAAGAATCATCGCCAGAGAGTTTTATTCAGACTCTGATAGGAGGTAAGTCTTGATCGTTTTTTTTTTTTTTTTTTATAATTACTGATAAACGATATTCACTTAATCAACCTTATTGATAAAAATAATGGAAAGGTGCTTCCAACTTTCAACATTGTGTTGCTTGGGCTTGTGTTTCCACATCGCAACAACAAATCACAGAGATAGATACAGCTTTACTGTATTACAATATATAGGTCAAAGGTGGATCCAGGATTTTTAAACTAAAGTGCACAAATTTCATATTGGCCTAGATAACACAGTAGAACCCTGCTTTGGGACCCCCTATTCAAGAGGATACTTTTTTGGGCCCTATAAACAAGGGAAAGTTTATCTTTTAACATTATGGCCAACCCCTGTTAAGGGTACACTTTTTTTGGCTCCAAAGGTGTCCCCATAATAGGGGTTCTACTGGTTCGCTTTAGATGGTGCTTTACACTCAAAACGTGGACTGGCTCATACAGTAACTTTCTTCTCCCCTAAGGATCTCTTCATGTCTGAGCTACCAGGTAAACCGGTGCCAGCAACTCTCGTCTGTCTACAGCAGATGGTGTAATATGAATAAGTATCCAACAATACTGTAATATTTAGTATTTGTATGCCATTTTGTATTTTTTCTGTTAAAAATTGGTAGGGGAAAAACTGGGGTCATGTGCCCTCCCTGACCCACCCACTGTGACCACCACTGGCAGTTCTAAAGATGTTGCCTTTACATTATATTCAAATATTGTTTTTAGACGCTACCGATTGTATAGACCAGGGTTAAATAGAGAAACAGTTAGTTCTTATTTATATATTAGAGACAAATTGTTTTTATTTTTTTCAGTTCCTGGACCTCCCAGTAATCTTCATTCTGAATCGAAATCATCAAAATCATTTACCATGCTTTGGAGTCCACCAGGAACACCTAATGGGCCTATTGAGCATTACTCAGTTGTGTACCGTCACCAAAATATGGTGAATGAAACTTATCAAGTGAAAGATACCAAATTTGGGATTGATGTCAGCTGCACTGGCACAGAAACCCTTAAGTATACATTTAGCGTTAAGGCCGTCAACAAGGATGAGAACAACAGTCTCTTGCCTGGACCTGAAGTGGGCGGTGATTATGAGTTCATGTGTGATGCTGTGCAAGGTACTGGTAGCAGTAGAGCCTGTAAAAATATATTGTAGGGCTCACCTGGAAGAGGATGATTGGTGTTGGGGAGGTGGTAATTATCAATTCAAATTGAGAAAATATTTCCCAAGTTTTGAGCTGGAAAACATTTTTAGTGATAAAATTTTTTAAACAGTTTGGAACTACAGTCTTTCTGTAGTTAAACACACCTCCTCGCCACCAACTTGTCTATTCACCACAGAGTGGCCAGCCATGCTTAGTTTTAGGGAGGTAGCATTGTGTTTTTTAGGGCTAGATTAAACATTAGTTTCCATGATTTAACCATGTATTCTTCTGTATGATTCAACTATAGAGTTGTCTGTCCATGATTCAACCAGAGTTATCTCTCCATGGTTTAATTATGGAGTTCTGTTCCATAGTAAAATCAAATACCCTCATGCGTATTCATTTGTACATAATTATTTTTAATCAGTTTGTGCCCGATTTCGTATTTCATAAGACCATCATCATACATCCTTTCAGTTAGAATTCCTCATGATATCCTGAACTCAAGCATTGCAGATGGGAGAAGCCACATTTGACAAGTTTTGTAATTGTCGAAGTATGGAAACCCAACAGCATGCCCTTATTAAAACTAATTGTCCCAATCTAGAAAAAGCGATGCTTCTCATAGAGACATCTTTTATGTTCTTGGATATTGCATTGAAAATCCCTAAATCTGGCAAAGATTGTTCTCCCCTATATATAAATTGCACCACATTTAATGTTACTCGTTCATTATTGAAGTTGAATGCACTACAGGTGTTGTAAGAACCCCGCAAGTTGCTAGGCAGTCACTGGGCTGTACGGCCATCAACCATCGTATGATGGTTGTACAGCAAACCCAACTTAAATTTCAGCATCTACTGACGATCATGACATTGCGTTTTCTATTGAATTAAGTCTGCCGACGGCTGTCAGGTTCTGGGAGTGGCCAACTTTAAAAAAAATCCAGCAAAACACAACCAATATCCCACAAATCATGGAGTTTAAAAGTTTTTACTTGTGTGTATATTAATTGTGTCCGTTATAGTATAACCATGCACAGCAATTTATTATTATTTATTTTGTAAGCTTTTTATACCGTATATATATCCTTTCCATAGAACTGTGCTTTTTCCCTGATCATTGGATACCGAATCAATAATACTTCACATACAACCTACTTGTCTCCCTTTGTTCCTAGTCTGTAACTCATCACTTCTGATTTAAATCCAAATTATTCATCTACCAGGTACCCATATATATATACAGGGTGCAGAAAGACAAATGCATTACAGTTGTCTTGTCAAAGGGCACAAGCCTCTCAAAATCTGCACATTAAATGTTTAAAGCCTATGATGCACCATATGACTTTCACCAAATTACAATTAAATGTGATATTAAATCCAGATCTCCATAAAGTGGCTAATTCCCGTAACTTGTGACTTCAGTTACTTAAATATTTCTCATCCCGGATATGGTCATATACTGGAACTTGAGAAAGATCATTATCATAGACCTTACTGTCTCCTCACTATAAACATAGTAGAAATGAAATAATCCTCAAGAATATTTGATTCCAAACTGATTGCTTTTAATCTGAGGTTTCACCTCAGATCGAAACATTAAAAAAATGAAAGCCATACAAAATTTGTGCAATAAACTTTACAATTTTCTTTACTGAGAATTCAGAGACAGTATCAAAACCTTCTCATCTCCTCATGTAAATTAATTCACTGCTTAACAAAATCCAACTTGGGTCAATCCACCATATCTTTCTGTGCAAAGTCCCTCTCATTCACTCTTTCAGATTTGCCTTGATTCTGGCACCTGATGTTAGCTTATAGTTAATAGCCATGCAGTGAATTATATATATTTTTTTAGTTATGTTTAAATAGTCCTAAATATTTAATGTTATTTGAGTATAATGTATTTATTTTTATTGTTTTTTTTTTTTTAATTACTATTTTATTTCACTTGTAAAGTTCGTTTTTGGTGCTCTCCTATTTTTAATTGTATTCTTGTTTTTGTTGATTTTGTGCAATGCAGTGATTTTTATATATAATGAAATCAAATTAGAGTTGACTATTAATCTGCACAAGTTCTATTAATTTAGTTCCAAAGCATTAATATGACTTTGCATACTGGTGATTTTTTGTAGTCAAATTATAAATGATAAATGGTTAAAATATGCATTTATAATGATAGTCTGATATGGGTTAATAATTATTAAGCCTTATACTTGCACCTGTGTAATGCACATGTTTGCAAGGTTTCTACCAGAGTTACTGGGTGCTACAAATTGTTATCAGGTGCTTATACTTGCATCTGTTTTATTCACATGTTAAGCCTTATACCAAAGATACTAGATATACAAGATAGAGTTCTCCACACAAAAAAAGTGTTCCACCGTGTTCCACCGAAATGCATGGTGGGAATACGAAAAATGGACGCCCCCTACAGCTGGATCTAAAAAAACTTGTGCCAAACTTTCGTTACCAAGTCGTCGCGTATTTTATTATCAATTCTGAACAAAGATACTAGATATAAAAACAAACTGGAATAGACACCCAGACAGTGACATCGGTGAATACATAACCTCCTTGGTGGTAGAAATCGTTGCTATTATCCAAATAATACACAAAACAATTAAAGCATAATCATGAATCAGTAAAGAATAAAACAACAATACAGCGCAGAATCGCATGGCCGGACGCACTCTTAGTGAAAAAGTTTTCCTTCATTAGTTGAAAAGGAAGGGCGCCTTTTGCGTCTGGATATACTTAGCAACAGAAGGGCGCCCTGTACGTTGGGCATGAAGTATAGAAAACTTGCATGGTTAAAAAGAAGTGTGCCGCCTACGTTGGGCACGACTTCCGCCTCATTTTTACAATGCGAGAACTCTATCTTGTATTTCTAGTATCTTTGCTTATACTTGCACCTGTGTAATGCACATGTTTGCAAGGTTTTACCAGAGTTACTGGGTGCTACCAATTGTTATTAGGTGCTTTGCACCTGTGTAATTCACATGTTTGCAAAGTCTTACCAGAGTTACTGGGTGCTACCAATTGTTATCAGGTGCTTATACTTGCATCTGTGTAATTCACATGTTAAGCCTTATACTTGCACCTGTGAATGCACATGTTTGCAAGGTCTCCAGAGTTACTGGGTGCTACCAATATTGTTATCAGGTGCTTATACATGCATCTGTGTAATTCACATGCTTGCAAGGTCTTACCAGAATTACAGGGTGCTACCAATTGTTACCAGGTGCTTATACTTGCACCTGTGTAATTCACATGTTTGCAAAGTCTTACCAGAGTTTACTGGGTGCTACCAATTGTTATCAGGTGCCTTTATATAGAGCACAGGTGTTAATAATTACTACACTGTCACTTGTGGGATACAGGATTATTAAAAATCTTGCACCTGTAATGCATGTCATGTAAGCATGTTCCTCAAACTACTTGCACATTGCACATGTTTCTTTATGGAAGTAAGATAATTTATTTACAATCTTTTAATCAACATTTTGGGTCAAGTTTTATGAATTTTAGATAGAAAAATGTATTGAGAAATAAAAGATTAAGATGCAAACTTTCAAATCTATCAGATTAATTTATACATACTGGCATTTGATGACAACATAAAAAGAGCAATAGTAGATATAATTCAATTCATTTTATTTATTTTGATCTAAATTTTCAGTTTTCAAAAACATTCTTCACACATTGATATCTACAATTTTACATTCCTATATTATTTCTGAACTATCCAAGTATAAAAAGAAAAACATGCATTTGTGTGGGAGCAAGTGTACTGTGTGCGATTCCTTTTGCATTCACAACAATGAAACCAACTTAATGAGAATAAATAAACAATAATGTTGTCAGTAGGTTTGTTTTAAAAGTATTAAAAGTTGTTAAGGTATTTTATTTTGATTTAGATGACCTTTGAACTTTGACCTTAAGGATTAGGTTCCTTTCCGAAACGGACACGAGCATTATAGGTACAAGGAATAGTAAAAATTATGTGGTATTAGGTGGTGTCCTGTTTTGTTAATCCTTTCCTGAAACCAAGATGGTACATGATTCGTCATGACTTCTTTAAAATAAATGATCATGGAATTTTATGTCGCTTTGATATTGATCATTTGAATATTTGAGTTGACTTTTAAAATAAGTTTAGGAGATGTATTTGAGGTATGCATAGAATACGTATAGTAGTATTAATTAAGCCTCATAAATAATATTACCATTAAGCCAAATATAAAAATATACTTCTTTAGCATCACCACCCCTTCCTGATTTTTTTTTTATTAAAAAAAAATGAATGTTGTCCAGGAAATGCTAAGAAAAAATAAGTATAGGCATATTTTAAGTGAATTATTAGGTGTAATATTTATTGTAGGCCTTTTGAAAATGATTAATTGTAACACTTTTTGCTTTCTGAATACAATTTAAAATATTTCATTTTTGGAACAATTTCTTTGTTTTTGATTTACTTTGTTCATGATGTTCAAAAGTACAAATATAGGATCATGCTCATTGGGAATGTGTGAGTTTGTAGCCTATGCAATCCCAGTTGTGCCTAAGCATGGCGCTGCTAAAGTAGCATCTAATCCAACACTGATTCATAGATTACTAATACTGTAGATTGATTAAATAAAAAGGGAAAAAAACGCCCCATCCCCCACCTAAACTTTCGTTAAAATGTGATGCTAAACAAGTAATTTTTTTTTATGGCCTTATGGTGTATTTTACTTTTTTTTTTTATTAAGATTGAGCGCAGATGCTTGTCTGTATGAGTAATTCATTTCAATGTTTCCTTTTCAGATCCAACTATAATTCTCTACATTCTGGTACCAAGTGTCATTGTTCTGATGTTTGTACTTATTACTTGCATTTATAAAAGTAAATACCATGATAAATATTTCACGAAATGGCCTGAACCAAAAATTATACAAGTTGTAAGTCTATTATTCATTGTTTTTCTTCATCTTTTCATCTTCATATTGTTTTAATAACTTCTTAAATGAGTACAATATGACGAAAATTCATGGGGATCAGCATAAAATTTTTAAAAATGACATGGGGGTTTCCGTTATTTTTTTTTATTTATTGATTTTTTTAATTTGCCAAACCTCTGTTAAATGTATCTTTTCATTGATATTATGATAATTTTTTGTGCAATTTACACAAAAAAATGTGAAACTTTCATAACAGTTTTAGTAGCTAACAGATATCATTAGGCCGAGTTTGCAATACCGTACTCGCGCGAATAAGCGCCCCATTTGAATAAGCGCCCCTCTCGAATTACCGCCCCTCCTAACGTGAAAATTTCCTTAAGCGCCCCGTTTGAATAAGTGCCCCCTTCTAATTTGAATAAGCACCCCTCATAAGATTTTCTTTTTAGCAAGTCAATAATCCAATCAATACTGGGACTGTGGTTGTTGGTATGATTTGAGCTGTAGAGTGGAAACACATTCTTCTTCAGTAAATATCAAAATGAGGATATTTCTCTTGCACATTCCCATCTAGTTTTCAAGAAAAATACAATGATCCTGCCATCCTGCTAATCTCAATCGTCCGATGGCCAACAAGCTAACCACTAGCATCTGCTATTTTGCTGTTATTTAAATATTCACGCATTCTTGTAATGAGCCATTTTATCTGAACGATTATATTTTCTAACCACCATGCGTGATGTCCTTATATAATCTTTTCCATTCAAAAAGTGCCTTTTGAATTTAAAAAATTTTCTATAAGAACCCCTCGATTTTCATCTATTTCCATAAGCACCCCCTCAATTTCCATTCTGTTTTCATAAGCGCCCCTCAGAAAGTGCAAAAAATATTTTAAGCGCCCGGGCACTTATTCGCGCGAGTACGGTACTTTGGTTCCATTAATTTGAAAGTGGTAGCAGTTAGCTACCAAAATTGTCTTGTTATTTTAAAATTGACTCTTCGAAATATCAAAGAAAATAATATGTCATATTAATAAGATTAATATTAATATTTAGTAATTGTTATTGAGAGAGAGAGAGAGAGACAGCATGATGTAATCCACGTGTGTTCCTTAGATACATAACTCAATAAAAAAGACGATAGGATGTCAACGACTTGGTAGACTTTGAACACAAATTTTATTCAAAACATCCTCGGGTCTTCTTCAGCATGTGTGACAAACAAAATATAAGTTGGCTTTTACAATAATTATGATAAAATGTAATTTTAATAGAATATAATGAACATGGTGATAGGACAAAAAACTAAGTAATTCCCATCCGGCGTCAAATCCACAATATCGTTAGTTTAACTGACGAAAATGATCAATAGCTCGTCGTTAGGGAAACCATCAAAAAACCACTACCCCGAGAGAGGGCGCAATTCAAAAGCTGTCTCTTATACACATCTAGATGTGTATAAGAGACAGCAGTTTTAAGTGCACCATTTTCCATGGTCACGGTGATGTCCAAAAAATCTACACTACTTGTGGATTTGTTGGCAGTGAATTATAATATATATATATATATATGTATATATATATATATATATATATATATATATGTATATATATATATATGTCTTTTGCCACCTGCCTTGTGTAGCTGTTTCTACAATACTAATACGTTGATTGAAATCTAATTTTAATTCACACAGGTAATTAATCCTGAACTGTCACCCCGACCTATAGAGAAGGAGAAGTTTGACCCCCTGAAGAAAAGACCGCATAGTCAGAGTTCCCATGGTAGCACAGCAAGCTCCGATCAAGGCTTCCATGAAATGTCTCTTAGCCATTCTCAAGTTGAACTCAATACTCAGGAACAAAAGGTACATTTTGTATTAAATAGAAGCAACATCCGATCAGATTCCCTAACAGATGAACTTGAAGATGAAACATTTTATCCTCAAGAACAGAATCCAAGAATTGAAACTGAGAACACTTGCGACAATGTGTCGACTTGTTCAGACAAGAAGGGAAAGGAGTATTTTCATATGAATTATAAGTACATGATGGAAGACGAGATCCAATACCAACGGCTCGTCCTGAAAGGATCGCAGGAGGCTTTGGACTTCACACCAAGCAATGATCTGGTCATTCAGAAACAATCATCCGAAAGTTCTGAAGAGGTAATTGATATCGATGAAAGCACAACAGATATTGATCCATATATAAAGATGATTCCAACATCTCCCACTAGCCAAACCTCAATCCAACTGACTGCCGATGAGGCCAAAAAGAGTGAACACTTTGCACACATAAGCAGTGATATTAAAAGTGAAGATGACAGAAATGTTGAGAGTGTTATTGACATTGGCTCAACAGGCATCAAAGTTCAAAATGAAGAGAGCCATCAAACACCTAATGAGGCATTTCTATCTGGGGACTATGTACAATCAAGTAATTTTAGAGTATTGCATCAGATGTCTGAAGAATCAGTTGATGACGGCATTGATGATTCTTCTGGTAGTGCCATCAATGATTATTCCCAGGTGAACATGCCAAATTTATCTGACTTCCTTGAGAACCTTGGTGGCACTGTTTAAGGGTTGCCCTTACTGAAGGTTTTCATGTAAGACATTCATGGTACAGTATTGAAAATAACTTACAAAAACAGGATGGATCTAGCTAAGTTGAATAATTATATTTCATGATTGCCAAATGCAGCTTTCAAAATTCATACATAGTGGAAGCTGATTTATTCCCTTTCATTTATTTATTCCTTATTTCACATTTACATTTACATTTTTTTCTTTATTTATTTGTTTCGTATTTACATATAGGCAATACCTTGAGAAAAAATGTGTCCTAATAGGAAAATCTGAGGGTGCATACCAGTTGGCCTCATAGCTCAGTTGGTAGAGTATCCAAACAGTAAAAGGAAAGGTCTTGGGTTTGTATCCTGATGGGCACATATGTTTTTCTCAAATGTTTATTATCGTCTTTAATTAACACCAGTGGAGGTGTATCTCCATACCAAAGTTAGATGAAATCTTTCCTATAGTAATTATATTGTTTAGGATAATTTTATATTTAACATTAGAGAGGTTTTGCAAATTCACCAAAAACAACAGAAACCACTGTCATTTTAAAAACTTTTAGGTTAGGCATAGGCCTAGACTATTTTTCACAGCTCATCAGCAGTGCTAGATGGATTATATATAGGCCAGGCCCACATACTCTGCAAAACAAACCTACCCTGCTTAACAAATTGTATGGCTTAATTTAGAGTAGAGTAGAACAATATTAATACACTTATCCAAAGAAAAAATAAATGAATTCATTTTTTGGCATTTCTTGTAAAACATAAAATAGAAACTTTGATTACTCCATTTTTGCTTGATAGTAAAAATTGTCTACCCACCATTCTCTGTAATTTTTACTGTTTAACGTTTGCTTCATAAATGAGCAATTTTCATAATCATGTGCTTTGTATATGATCTTGCATATTGCAAAGTTTGAGGTCACAATGCTGCTATCACCAGAAAATACAATAGTGAACTCTGACCTAATTATCTTTCTAATATTATATTACTTTTCTATTTTGAATATTTCGTTTATAACAATAGATATTTATATAATTCAATGTGGCATATTATTTTCATAGGATTCTAATGGGTTTTTAGTATTTATAGGGCAGTTTATATGTAATCTAGACGCAGGGTTCCCGGAATGCCGCCCTCAGCGGCGTGTGCGAAGCAACTCAGAGTCAGAAGTGGAACGTGAATTTTGATTTGGTTTCATAGTCAGATTTTCGAGAAAAACTTCAGCTACCCGTATTTCTCGACTGAGACGTCAATGGGAGCTGTAATTTGTATGGCAAGGAGATGGAGCTACCCTTAATTTGTATTAAGGGAATTTACGCCCACAAACCTTGTAGTTATTAATATTTTGGTTATTAATACAAAATTTTTATTTTTTGGTGACATCACACTCACACTGTAGTTAGCATGCATACGTCATAAGCTCGATTACGTCACCTTTTCCTGGTAAAGCAAACTTTCCCGGCGTGCTTTTTTCATGGGTAAACAAACACCACTGCTTTGCACATGAGTGTCTTGTCTAGCTAGGGCTGTACGTCTGCAACTGAATTATTCTTAGGCCCTAGTTAATTTTTTTCTTATTTTAATTTATTTCTTTCGAAAGTGTAGGCCTACTTTCTATCACATAAAATTGCACTGTCTACTTAGGCCTAGTCATATTATGCTTCATCGTCCCCTGCTATATAGTCCGGGGGCATATGTCGAAAAATGGGCTCCCGTGGGATTTGTGTGATCATTTTAGTTTTTTGGATGGAATATATACTTTGAAGTATGCTGAATCCAATAAAATGAGTCGCCATTTTTTTTACGCTCATCTTCATATGCAAATTAGTTAAAATATGCAAATTAGTTCTGAAAATGTAGGGTACTTATATCTCAGTAACCACTTGTCGTAGAAAGTTGATTCTTTCTTAAAGTTGTTCAGAATATGCATGTTTCTATTTACCCTAATGAAACATTTTCTTCAAAAATGACCGGAAGTGCCATTTTGCCAACCTTATTAGCATAAATATGCAAATTAGGGGTGGAAATATAAGGAGCTATATCTAGAAAACCACTGGTCGTACAGAGTTGCTTTTTGCAGCAAAATGTTTAAAACATGCATATTTATATTTACTATAATGGACAATTTTCTCTAGAAATGACCGGAAATTGTGTTTTTGATTATACACATCTAGTTGGCAACCATTGATCGTACAGAGTTGCTTTTTGTAACAAAATATTTACAATATGCACATTTATACTCTAACAGAATAATTTCTCAATATCAACCAGAAACTTTTCTATTGACCTTTGACCTATCTTTATTCATAATTATCACAGGGTTTCTCACCTCGCCGGTCATCCCTGTCCGGCTCTCAAATTTCCGACCGGCATCTAAATTGCGCCATTTTTTACAGACTTTCTCAACCTCAGAAACATAATTAAACACAAAATACTTTGCTAAAAAATCAAGGGCTTTTAACCTTAAACGCCCTATTCATTGAGAAAATAACAGTAGAAGTACACGTCCCCATGGTTACGTTGATTTTTAATTAAGAGTCTTGCAGTGGATAGGTCCACAATATTTATATAGACGTGCATACTCATTTATATAGAATGAGTGCACGTCTTTGAAAAAAAAAAGGTTTAATAACTGTTATAACACACAACAAAAAGCAAGCATAAACGCCATAGTAACAACAAAGTTTATGATTTTATTATGATGATCAATGACTAAATTAAATTGACATGTAAGAAGTGAACGTACAAAGAAAGCAACACTTCGCTAAAATACAGCTGAACTATGAAACCATGGCACATGTTGGTATCGCTGAACAAGGCAGTCGGCTATTCCCTCCTTGGGGAGCAGCAGCGCGTTTACATTCCTGAAGGCGGCGTTCAAAGAATCAGATCAGACAGTAGCGCGTCTACATTCCTGAGTTGGCGGCGTTTAAAGAATAAGACTACTGCATGTGACTGACCTTGTGTCTGCTTCTCCCATGCTTCTCCTGATCGTGGGAACTACTTGTGTGGAAACGTTTCTCACTCTAATTCACTGTTACTAGGCAATTTGCAGTAATGCCAACTGGTGGTACGGTATATGCTATTTCAAACAGTTTCCTTCCGTTCATGACGAAGTAAGAGCATCAATACAAAACTAATTGAATTAATTTTATTTCTGAACGGGACCGGTAGCGGCAGGATTTGGCTGATGGGGGTACGATGTGTCCGACGGGGTGGGCAACGAGAGCGTAAGTGGGCGTGGCCGGGTGTCGCTCAAAGTTTCTGGAATTGTTTCAG